AAGCGAAATCAAGACAGACGCAGCAAATCAAGAGAGTCAAAGGTACAGTGCGCGTCAGGTGAGCTGCTGGGGTGTTGTAACAGAGCACGCACAGGCCTCAAAAGAACAAAGAGACGCCACGTGACAGGTCAAATAGAGAGCGCAAACTCAGAGAGAAAAAGGAGAGAGAAAGAAGAGAGAGGGGGAGGAAAGCACAGACGACTTCATAGTACAAGAGAAGCGTAGGAAGGAGGGAGGGCTGCTGAAAAGAAAGGCAAAGGGAAAGAGAGTGAGACGAGTGGTGGGAACGGTTGTCATGTGTGACAGAGATGACGAGAGGATGATGGGAGGATGACGAGAAGGAGTAGCTTGACATGACATGTGTGGGATTGAACATCAAGGCTGGTGCGGACGGCTGGAGTGGTGTGTCAGCAGGAATGACAGACACGAGAGTGGTGGCCTTATGCCTTGGTCGCTGCTGCCTTGCCACCTTTCTGCTCTTTGTCCTTCTGCTCCTGCTGCTTGTTGTCTTGGGCATTGTGTGCTGCAGCCTTTGCCTTCTTTGCGGGCGGCCCCTCTGTCGCCGCGTCGTCCCGTCCGCCCGCTGCTGTCTTCGCTGCCGCTGCTGATGACGACGATGGCGGCGATGACGATGACGATGATGATGGTGCTGCTGCAGTGGGGTCACCGCAGCCATCGCCAAGCTTGTTCAGCTCCTTCTCGGTCCACTCGCTGGTCTCGGTGCAGCAGTGCTTCTTGTTGAGGGCGGCAGTGAGGTACTCCTTGACCTGCATGAACACCTTCGCCTGCTCCACGGGGTCCTTGCTGTAGTGCTTGTCAAAGTACGCCTGCAGGTTTGGCTGTTTCGCAATTCGCGCCTGCAGCGCCTTCAGGTTGGCGTGCTTGTCCACAATCGTCTTTGGGATGCCGTCCATCACACCTGGCATGAGCATTTGGTGCAGGTGTTGTGTGTGCGTGCAAGTTGAGGAGGAAAGGCAAGAGAAAGGCGTGTTAGGAACAAGTGGTATCATTGCCAGGTGTGCGCGTGTGCGCGTGCGTGTTTGGGAGGGGGGAGTTGGGTTGGCAAGCCAACGCACAGGCATCAACGTCGACACGAGGTCATTCACACCACAGGTTTACACCACAGTGTACACAGCACACACACACACACACACACACACACACACACACACACACACACACCCATTGTGAGCCATCCGATGAGGGTAAAGGCGGTGAGGTCGGCGATGGAGATGCGGTCTGGGCCGAGGACGTAGCCGTTGCTGAACTTGCAGTTGAGCACGGCGAGCCAGCGCGGGAGAAGGTCTGTTGCAAGCTCCCGCCGCATCGCAAGCTTCCGCTCCATGTCCTGCGCAGGTGATATGGTGGTGGTGGTGGTGGTGGTGGTGGCGTGGAATGGTGAGGGGAGGGCAGCAGAAGAAGAGGGGGGGGGGTTTGAGGTAACGCATGGAACCACGAAATACAGGCATGCAGAATGGAGAGGACGCAGGTGCATCACACACACACACACACACACACACACACACACAAATACACACACACACACACAAATACACACACATGGGCTCATCCTTACGCGCTCTTTGATGGTCGGGATGATGAGCCAGTTGATGTCTTCGATGAGACCAATCACCTCGTCCACCCTTGCTGCCTCCATGTGATCCTCGGGGTACAGGTCTGCGTGTGCGTGTGGCACATGCAAGAAAGAAGCACACAACACAGCAACACAGCAATAGCACGAAGTTGTGTAAGGTGGGGAAAGAGGCGAAACCAAATGCACGCAAAGCACGCACAGTAAGCACAGTAACCCTGCCGCAGTCTCCGACAGACGCACTTGTCTTCTTGCCCACGAAGCGGATGATGGCGCTACTCTGTGCGATGATCTGGCCGTCCACTTGCAGGATGGGCAGCTGCCCGTAAGGGCACTTGGGTTTCAACTTGCACCACTGGTCGCGCGACACGCGCACATCCGCAAACTCGACGCCGGCCAGATGGAACGCCAACCTAGACAGGAGGGGCAGGTGGGTGTGCCAAGACACAAGTTTGCAGTTGTTGGAGATGAGGAGGGGGGTGAGTGGGGCAAAGTGGGGCAAAGTGGGGCGAGGGATTGCGTGCGCACAGCAGCGCAACGTGCATCGTTGGATGGTGACAGTACGCACACGATGGCACAATGAGGTTCAGCATACAGAGAGAGGGAGAGAGAGAGAGAGAGAGAGAGAGAGAGAGAGAGAGAGAGAGAGAGAGAGAGAGAGAGAGAGAGAGAGAGAGAGAGAGAGACGA